TATATATAATGTAGCTATCACAAATTACGTGACAGATATACGTCAGTTTTTTTACGAGAACATTAACCCGATATTGTCGAAATCGGGAACACGACGCACAAACATTTCACATCTAAGATCGTTCGTTCAACCGTAAAATTGGATAAGAAAGATTCGAGTCACCGGATCGCGTATGGCTCTTAATAGAGTCTTTTTGCCGGAACGTCTGATGCGCGGTGCGGTTGCCGCCTCTTTTTGTCTATTAAGAACGTTGTCGGGCTAAATGCGACGGGATGGTTTCGTTCGGCGTCGGAGATAAGCGTCATCGTAACGATAATTAACAAAGTTTAATCAGAGGCCCTTCCTTCTTCAGACCGATCGCACTTAGTCCGGATCCTTTCGACCGGAATTGACGAACAATTTAATGTTTCGCGGAATCAAAGTTGATTTATATCCGTCATCCTTCGCGGAGTAATCTCACGCGCCCGATTTAATTAATTTCATTGCTGTTTTGCTGCATAAATGCCTGAAATTGGCAGATGTAAATTATTTATAACACTCAAATATTTCGATACTGCTGGCGTTCTTTCGGCAATATAATATCGAAATTTATCGACATTTTTTCTGTTATATCAAATTCACTCATTATATAACCCGTTCATTATGAAAATATTCAAAAAGGGAGAAAATCTGGGTGGGATAGATTATTAAATGGAAAACTAAATAATTAAATTTTAAGTAAAACCAAATATAATATTATGCGAAATACGAGTGTGTAAAAGTCACGATTTTCATTAAATCGACGCTATATTAGATTACATATCTCACCGACTTTTAGTACTATCTAAAGCGGAAGCGCGGTCGGGTACAGACACCCCGTATATTCTGCGCATAATCCCCGAGTTACAAATTCTATTAAGCGGGAGAGAATGGAGAAGACTGAGGGATTAAAATTACCGAGTGTCTTATTAAAAGGAGAGATTGCCTGCTTCTTTCGGTCAAATAACCAGCCCGGGGCTGCTCTGCCTCGAGCGAAATATCTCGAAGCTCGATCATATAGTTTCCAATAGGCGATATTCTTCCAACGAGCAATAATTTTAAGATTAATTCCCATAGAGCGATTCTTCTAGTCTTTCGTTTCTCAAATGTTTCACGGGTTAACGAGACGATTTTTTTTTATCGACGTAAAATATCGATTTAATTATGGTACGTCACCGGGTGGTCACGTCACCGAGCACAGTAAGTAGATCGGCGACGCGGTTTTTGCTCTTCAAGTCTCAGCTTTAATTCGCGCATTTCCCTTTTTGTCGCACTCACTAGAGAGAGAGAGAGAGAGAGAGAGAGAGGATCCTTAATTACGGTTGACCGACCGACGATTAAACTTCGCTAATTGTCGCGTCGATGACGCTGGACTCTCCGATAAGCACTGCTGCGCCATTCTATGAATGTGCACTCGAATCGAGACTCTCATTTCATCACTCGTGATGCGGATAGCGCATTTCTCTTTGATCGATATACGAGGTTGTTCTGTTTTTGATTTAGGCCTAGATACACACTTTTCTTTACTGAGAAAACTTCTCTCTTCAATGTTGCTCATTGAGATACGTCTCTGAGATTTATTGCGTCTCTCATGAAATTCTGTGTGTGATTCGAGGTGTAAGGGAGCGAAATAGCGATATATAGGGCAGGAAAGAAAGAGAAATCAAAGAATCGAGAGGTACGAAAAGGGGTTGGAAAACGCGATGGAGTACGGGCGTCACAAACGGGAGATAGCGTTATCAGAATTGCCTTCGGGAACTCCACTAATTTTAACTAACAGTGGAAATATCGCGAAACTTTTGAGCGCGGCGAGTCCTCGCCAAACAATTTATCTCTCTATCTCTACGAGAGATAGATGAGAGGGATGAAGCCGAGAGATCGGGGAAACGAAGAGAAAATCAGAGAGAGAGAGAGAGAGAGAGAGAAAAAGAAAAAGAGAGACAGAGAGACAGTTTCTCAGACGCTCTCGCCTCTAGCCTTTCACTTACACACGCGCTTTGCGGTGTTGATGGGGGAGGGAATCAAGGGGGAGCAAGGGGCGAGCTTTAGTACGCCTTTAAACTATGGTATAACCCTGGAAATTATAGCACGCCATCCCCCGGCACAGTATGCTCGGCAGTGGCAACTTAATAAGCCGATAGGATATGATCTCTGCACGAGCAGAGAGAGAGAGAGAGAGAGAGAGAGAGAGAGAAAGAGAAGAGAGAAAAAGAGCGAGTGCGTAAGCTCTTTCGCGCTAATTATTTGCGATTAAGGCTTTGCTGGCAAAATGAACACGTGTGTTGATACCCTGCCTAGCTTACTATAAGTAATCTCACGGCAGTGTTACTTTGTCAGATTGTTTCTCCCCTCCGGGTATTAATCTCGTTGCAGTGTAATTTATGGAAACATACTCTCCCCTGACAAATAAACGTCATATATAATTATATTAAATTTTCTTTCCGGTATATGTATATAGAGGGCGTCCCTTATTTACGGAATCGTCGAGTTTAAAAGTTGACTCCTGATTCAGTATTATTTTCTCTTACTTAACGATGCAATTTATCGAAGTTTATTAGCGACACTAAATTTCTCTTATAATTACGTTAAAATCGTAATTTGCGCGCCGTTTATTCGATTAAATTTCGCTCAAACTTTCAAAAATCCGATATTGATTTTTCTGATCGATTTCCGAGACGCTCATACATACCGTTAATTTCACGATGCGGTGCCTACAACGACTGCCATAGGGGTTAAGCTTTGAATACCGTAATTACGAGGCTGAATTTCCCACGAGATGCGATAAAAGGGGGCTCGGATTGGGGGGGATTTTTTTCTTCATATACCGTGTATGCAAATCTCGACGGGCGCGCGGATTAACGTTTACCGTTTCACCTCTACCCGTCGTTCCGTGTGCTTGAGCGCGTATCGTTGATATAAACGGCCGCTAGATACGATCCGTCCGACTGCATCAACTACGTAAGAAGACCGCTATTGAGTTTTGCGCCAGCGGAGTTTATCGCAGCCGTAACTAGAGCGGCTTTATGTCTCGCTGATAAACTCGCGGCATGACCGTGTTCGTCATCTCGTTCCGCTGGGTTATCGTTCCGCTAACGACCAGACGGACAGACAAAATTGCCCGCTTTCTCCCTCGACAAGTTTCTCCGACAAACTGAAAGCGCGAATAATAATAATGAAGATTGAATCGGTCAAGGATGCAAAGATTGATAATTGTAAATTACAATCTCAAATGTAGGACTGTATATGTAAATTCCGCGAATCGCTGAGAATTTCTGTCGAATTTTCCTGTCAAAAGTCGAATGTAGCAAAAAAATGCGGCGTAAAAATTTCACATATCGCTATATAAACATTATATAATATATATGATATAAATATTATATAAACAAAAAATTGTTAAAGACCAAAGCGTATTTTCCCAGTTGTATTCGGTTTTCCGTCCGTTTAGCACGACGCTGCTTTTTTTCCGATAGCGGTTAAAGTTGTTAGTAGCTTAAATTCGCGATTTAATTGAAACGCGCGGAAATTCCACGTGCTTGGGCGTACCTAAGCGTGAGCGATGCTCGTTGTTGAACTTTTTTAATCTGAGTAAAATGTTTACGAAGCGGTTTGCGAACGGTTTGTATCCGCTCCCCTTTTTTTCACCAGGAAAAAAGGGAGACGGTGGTATCGGAAACGAGAAAACGGAGAGAAACGAATGCCATTTTGTCTTTTGATGACGATAAACACCGTTGCAGCTTTTTGTGCAATTTGGGAATTTTTTTTCACCCCGAATGAGATACAAACAATGCTCGCTGTATCTGTATGGCGTCCGAAACGAGGAGGAAGCCGTCAAATATGTCGGCCTTTCCCTCTGCGTTTTAGCGCGGAAACTCGGATCTATATTAAATCCTACTAGTGGACTGTGTTGATTTTAGTGTGGCGCGGCCGTTCCGGGTTTGCCAT